GCCGATCGTCTATATGTGCTTTTTTTTTGCCCTCTCCGCCCCCCCCCCCCCCCCCCTCCATACTATAATTTATTACCACTTAGTCCTGGCAGAAGAGGTGTTGGTTTTTCACTTTCTGTAACACAGCGACAATGCTAATCGTAATGCAGCGAAATCACTGCAGCGTTGTCACCCTACGGACAAGTAGATTTACTTACTTTAAAGGAAAACTCCACTTTCATAATAAAGATATTTATATATATTCCATATATATATCTTATACAATATAAACTAGAGCCTCCAGAAATGTAATTTCCTGCTTGTGTGATTGGCTTACAGATTTACCCAGCAGTCTGCAGTAAGATGAGTACAGTTTTTTAGGCAACAGAAATGTGATTTTTGATACCCCTTAAGGGTTAACTATTTCTAATGGGATTCAGACCCTCCAGCTTTTTTTTTATCGGAACATTGAGATTTAACCGGGTAGTCATAATGGAGGGCTTACCCTACAATTCGAGGATCAGTATGGAAAGTGCATGGTGAAACAAAGAACTGACATGTCTGCCTTTATAAACATACAAAGAAACATATAATAAAGGGTCAGTCCTCCCAAAAGTTGTGTACGGAGTCAGCATTATATGTCTTTGATACTCTAATAGTGAGATCTACCTTCCATAGTTTACAGTTCTATTCCTTTTCTATTTTGCATATTCTTGCTCCCCTTTATGTGTTCAACTCCTTCTGCTATATTCTATGTCGTATAGTAAGAAATCAATAGGGAGAAGAACCCTTTATAATTGCCACAGCTGGGGAGGAGGCACAGATCTTTCCAGTAGAGTCCTTATGAGATATAACTCACGTGGGTTAACTTTCCAGCATTAATCAGAAAATTGAAATCTCAGTTTCTAGATGGATTGCTCCTTTTAAAGAATCTCTATAGTGCTAGTTACAACTGGCCATTAACATTGTATTAGTCATGTTACATAATCATGCGATTTCTCCTGGAGAGGCAGGTTAGTGTTCAGGCAAAGCAGTTGAGTCAGTAGCTATGCATGGACACTGAGCCTTCTCTTCAACAGAGACCACATGCATATATTATGTAACATGACTGGCTAAAAAGAAATTCAACGTATTTTTGATCCGTTTCTATCTTTTGTACACATCATTGTGGGATGGATAGATAGATGGTGAAGAACATACCTCCAGGCAGGGGCAGGTGTACATAATCAATGGACTTGTTTTAGCTACTTTATTTGCCTTCTATAGTCTGTAGAGTCTGAGTTACTATAGCAGATGTCAGGACTTCCAACTCACTCACCAACAATAAGTTTATAGTCTCTGTGCAAGATCTATTAATATTTCAGTCATGTTTCCACTTCCGAGATAGGAACTGAACAGCCACTGTAATCCGCTGTAGATATATAAAGCAATATTTTTCCTTTTCCACAAATCTCTCTCTCTCTGCTTTTGATACTTCCAGTTATTGTCTTGGTCAGACAGTGTGACTCAGTGATGTCATGATTTCCTAATTACTTGTTTTTTTTAAAGGTTTCCTTCAAAAAAAGGAAAATACAAAAATATATGTTGAAGTTCCTGCAACTTGACCTATTTCACATTGTATTGAAATATGTTCTCAAGCATGCAGCTGGTTGAATTACCAAGAATCTATCTTAAAATTTAGTTGCCACACATCCAATGAAAGTTTAAATCAGACTTGCAGTCAGAGTGCTTGTTCAGTAGATCGTTACGTGAGCAGGGAAGGAATTTTGGTGGGCCATTGGGAGATGGGACACTTGTAATGGCAGATGAAACTATGTCAGGCATGAAGCGGGTCAGTGGCACAATCTGCAGGTTCTGAAATACTATCATGCGTATGCTATGCAACCATATAGTACTCCTGGGTGCATTATAGAAGTATGTTGTACTTTACAAACCGTTTGGCAGGTAAAGTGGCTCCGATAATGTCTTTTAGCTTTTTGGCAGGAGTTTTCTGTTAAGAGAGTATACCCCATGTAGGTTTCTAATTTTTATTTCTCTATAAATGCTTAGTATTCCATAGGGGAATAAATTATTCAGCTGAGAGTGACTAGTTTCTCTCCATTTGCATTTATTAATATAGATGACATCTACATAATGCTTGCAAAGCTGAGGAAATGTGATGCCTCTTATAGACTCCTGTTTCAAAAAAATTGATCCTGATGTGGTAGTTTTAATTGTAAACCAATTTCTTATTCCTGAAAAAATCAAATGAGACATTTGGCTTATTCAACGCCCCCCTCCCATTATGCTCTGGGGTAAATTAATATGAAGGCAGCCATGGTGTGAACTAGACCAAACACACTAAGCACTTTTTTCAGAACAGATTTAGAACCTGTGTCAAGGGGCTTTGGGTTTGTGTCGATAGCAACAGTTTGAGATCCTTCTGAGATCATTCAGAATTCATTGACATGAGCATTTGACCCCCTTCTGACCTCCTTTTAACCTGTCTCTAACAGGTTTTACATCAGTATTGGAATGCAAAACCAGTTTAAAGGAACAACTTTGATCTGGGCTCTGCTTTTGTAACTTCCCTTCTTGTACAGTGCAGGGATAGCAGTTAGTCACTCTCATTTCCTTCCCCCTCATCCTTTGATAAAAGGTTTTGTATTCTGTTTACATAGTACACGCCATTCTGTGGTTGGACAAGGGGAGAGGAGGGACACATGATCGACAGAAGTACCCCCTTGTTTAATCACAGAAACCCTTATATTCCATACTGTGCAATCACAGGCTTGGTAAGAGCCCATCGAGGATCTTTAGTTTGAAGATGAAGACTTAACGACAATTGATATATTGTAAATTTGCTGCAGGTAACATTTACAAGAGTCCTTTATGCTTTTTTTCTTTCTTTGCAGAGAAAGAGACCTTTCTGGACCCATTTGTCTTGAGGGATTTACTGCCTGCTTCATTGGGGAGCTTTTACCGATACACTGGCTCTTTGACCACACCTCCATGTAGTGAAATTGTGGAGTGGGTCGTCTTTAGCAGGCCTGTCCCAATTTCTTATCATCAGGTGAGTTAAGGAAAAGGAACACAGCTTACAATTGGTAAAATTAGGCCATTATTTGAAAATGGCCAAAACAAATGTATGTGTTGCACAGCGTGACCAGATCAGATTTTCTCTTTTCATAATCACCACTGCTTTCGTAAACTGAATACCAAGGGCAACAAAATTCTACTTCTGGTAAGTCCATCAGTAACATTGTCTCGGTGAACTGTAAACTAGAATGTTACTGACTGTTAAGCCGTATGGTGTATCTCATAACTAGTGCTGAGATTTTTTTCACAGACCTTGGTCAAGGGCAACTGGTGGCACCCAACTGCTGCACATTTTCAGTTTGTATAGTATGTGTAGCTTGCTCACACGTTGCTACTCTGCTGCCCTTGATCCCAGTGACGGTGCAGCCTGCACCGTCAATAAGTGATGAGAGGTTGGTTGGCACCATAGTACATGTGACACTCTGATCACTCACTTTTGTATCTGTAAAACACTTAAAACTGCTAGTAGAGTAGGGTGCGGGGTTACGTACGTGTAAATTCTAGGCATCATCATCCTACACTACTAGTGGTTTTAATTTTACATTTAACGGTACAGAGCTCTTGAGTCAGCTCTTAAGTCTGCCACTGAAGAGCCCTATGCAGCTGTGACCACAGATGCTTCTTACCTAAGGGTAAGCAGAGGTGGAAGCCTTCTATGGGCACCTATGCATTACCCAGCAATTTGTAAGGATCTGGTAGAGAACAAGGAGTTAAAAAGAAAATGTTGCTCAGTTCAACAGCATATATAGGTTATTAGTTGTGCCTAAATTGTTGCTGTAAGTCATAAAAACTTACATAAGAAAGTTGTCCAAAATAACGAGAACCTGCCAGTGATAACCAGATTGCATAGCTAGAGAAACAAAAATTAAACCAGAATACGAAGGTCATTTTTGCCCCCTCTGTATGAGGTCTTGTAGGGGTTAATCTACCTGCCAGACTGGACTTGTGTTCTAAGCTCCCAGATGAATGTGCACATTCTATCTATGTACTCGGCCAGATTCTAATACTGCATGTTCTTACGTGATTGTACAGCTCCATCTGTTTGTTTGGCTCATCATCATGTCAGGAGAGGCTGAGAGTCACAACGCAAATCATGCGCACAGAACAAGGTGCAAAAATGACAGAACAGATTCTCTCTTTTATATAGTGTAAATAGACCTTGCCAGACAACCTGGCTGCATTATTGATTGCACCACACTACCTGCTCTCCAAAAGTGATAAGCCCATGTATACAATGTTATTTTAATGCTGAATTTTAAGGGGCAGTATGTTAAATATTACTTGGTTTAGAATTGGTTTGTGCTTTCAGTTTCAGAAGATGATTGCATGGCAGAGCGTTTACAGTCACAGCTCATAGAGAGGCGCATTTTGTCTAAGCCTGTTCGTAAAGAGGAATTTTGCCTTATAGTACGTCTTTAAGCAATACATAAGTAACCAAACCTCTATATTGTGATACCTCAACATACTTGCATTCCATTTTTGGTGGATTGTTAAAGGGCATGATCACCTTTTCACAAAAAAAAATCGTCCAGCCCTCCTCCAATGCCCCCTTTAATACACTAAACTGTTATTTCCAACCCAACACCCCCCTTCCCTGCAGATCCTTAATCCTGTCCTCCGATGGTTACAACCTCCCGCTCTTAGTTTCTACCATAGACTTGAATTGGCCATACCAGTACTGCAGGTGCAACATTTCAATCAAGTCTATGGGACATTAGTGCACAAATGTAGGGAGCCAGGCACTAGATTTGTATTGTACAGGCTGCGGAGTGGTAAAGACGAAAGTCTTGCAAGGAGGGCGGGTTTGCACAGGTTAGTATGTTGGGCTAGAGATTTATTTATTTTTTAAAAGGTTATTTTGTTCTTTAAAGAGCAGTTCTGTGCATCAAGTGAAAGCAACCCGTGAGCTACTAATGCAATTTAGCAAATGCTGCCACTGTGCTGAAATCAGAGTCCACTCAATTGACCTTTTCTGAGTTGTATGTGATTCATTGCAGCCACAGCACTCAGAGCTGCTCATGGGTTCACTGGAAGGATACTTCTAAAGTCTATGCTTTTTACCTTCCTCTCTGCTTTCTATTTCACCAATCACATTCAAATTTCCATGGCATGCTGACTGGCTGGGGCTGTGAGAACTTAATACTGACAATTTTTTTTTTTTTTTACATCAAACTTTCAGTATGGAAGACACAGCAAGGAACCTGCCATAGGTGTGTTTTGGGAAATACTCTTGTGCGTCACAAGTTCTCAGATCATTGGATTGCAAACAAAACAAAAGGGAGTTTGGCAGACTGCACTGCAACAATGGCTGTATTACAGACACTGTTACTTTGCACATTTATGACAAAGTGACAATGCCTGCACATAGCCCATCCTCACAGGCTGTATGCTTTCTAAACTCCAGTATCGAATGGTGTCAGAGCATAGATAGAGGGATGACGGTTTGGCACCACAACTAGTGGCCTGGTGATTGTCCGCTGAGGTCCGTTCACAATCACATAGGGGAGGTCACATATAGCCCCCATATCTGAAAGTCCTGCTTCTTTAATGAGGGACTCCAGCAATGTGTAAAGGCGAGTAGGAAGTGTGCATACTTGCCTTGGATCTGCATACCCGCTGTGTCCATAATGCTTGTGTGCTACACAGTTTGTTAGGGTTTAATTTGTATATGGAGTGTGCACACTTAGCTGCCCAAGGTTGCTAGGACTAGAGGCAGGGAGGGCATGCCACTAAAGGTCTGAAGAGATGCGAGTCAAAGGGAGTTATTCCACCAGACCCCACCCAGATCCTAAATACCAGTTTTAGTGAAATTACCCTTTAACCTAGGGGAGCAGTAACAGGAAAGAGGAGGAGCTAAACCAGGAATCTGTGTGTTCATGTTTTATCTTAACTTTGAATGTTCCCTGCTCCCAGATCTGTCAACATGTGACCTTTCTGTCCATTCTTTTGTTATGAAGCTATAAAAAGGTTCACCATATAGTATTCTGTGGAAAAAAAGGCACCTGGAGAGACCACCGAGTGCCGTACTGCATCAAGAAGAGGTGTATTTATACGCCTAGGAGTCACAGATGTTTGCACATAGCCGCGGCCAGCAGAATGTACAAATCAATGACAGGTTGACACATGCCACAGCTGTATGTAAGTACCTTCACATCCCATCAGTTACATGGGTACGGGGGCCAATGAGTGGGCCTATACACAAAACGTTTGCATCCAGGGTCGTTCATCTGTAACTTTACTCATGTAACCACTCCGACTTGCGTACAGCCATGATGTCTGTCAGCTTATCATTGAATTCTACAGGCCGCTGGTTGTGGCAGTATGAAAACACCTGACTCCCAGAGTACAGAAATGCCTCTTCTTGAAGGTGTGTGGCCCATGTGAATGAGCCCTAAATGTTGCCGGTTTTATACCTATGAATGAAAGAAGCTGTTTTGTTAGGCTGCCAGTTGAATAATTGTTTTTTTTCTGTTAAGTGATTTGTAGTCACATGAATGCAAAACCACTTTTGTTGAATGTTTTTATCAGCTAAAAATGTGTATTTCTAAAGCTGCAGGTCACAAGAAGAATCTATCTAAAGAGCATCTTGAATATTACGGTTAGCATAATAAAAACAAAAACAGTGTTGTGTACAGTTTTCAACTGTTTCTGCTGAAACGTTTCTCAGAATGAGACCCAGCAGAGTAACTCGCAGAAAGTGAGCTGTATGCCACCAGGAGGAGGTTAAAAAAATGCTCAGCTGTACAAGACCCACAACCGAGAGCGAGTTCTCTGTTTTGTTCCTATGTTTTATTTATTCTTTTTACTTGTAAAGGATGAGCAAAACCAAAGCTTTTTTCAGCAACTTGCACTGTGAGTCACTGTTAAGTATACAACAGGCATGCCATGCATAATATACCGCTCAAAATATCAAAACAAAACACTTAAGTGCATCATCTGGCAAAATTAATACTTTGGTCATATTTCTGCGGAAACCGTGCCCATAATAACAGCTTCACAAATAGAATTGCTAACCATATGATCCGCCAATAGGCACAGCGCAGTATGTTATGCCAATTTACCATTTCTCAGACTCTAACCAAGTCTTAGGTTTGTATATGCATTTTTGGTTGAACCTGTTGACTGCCACCCTACTTCACTGTTAATTGTCCCCTATATAATTCCTGAATAGATCTATATCAAAGCCAATGCTGCTGATTTTTGACTACTTTGGTGCTGGCTTCTCTGTTTTGTCCTGAATCTGTGTTTTTTGGTTATGTGGGAAGTATATCCAGGCCTGCTGGTGTATAATTTCTCTGTATCTGGCAGTTATATGCTCACCTTAATATGCTTCCTTCTGCAAATGTGTAACCTCATCTACTAGGAGTCTAGTGTTAACCTAGTATGTGCAATAAAGTTTATTCTAAGAAAGAAACAAAATCCCAAGTCTTGAGCAACTAGGCATGAAATGGTGAAAATGCCCCAAAGACTAGGCCTCAAATCCTGAACTTGAGTTGAGACTCATCAGGTGTGGCTTAACAATTAAACCTTTTACAAGGCTGCCTATATGCTCCTGTGTATAGAAATATCTTCTCATGCAGAGGCCATTATATCCCTTATCATGGTGAAGTCAGAGCTCAATCACTTCTAGTCCCTTGTCGCAGCTGCATTCCCTGTGCATGTGGGAGTTCTGCCAGTTGCCTCCATTGGGTTTTCCTCAATAAGACTGACTTGTTCCAAAGCATTGTGATTGTACCGGAAAGCTGCCGTAAAGTCTGCTTTATGCGTCCAGCTGAAATTAGAGCCAGTGGGTCATTGATGTTTTCTTTTCCAAAACTGGCAGATGAAAACAAAATTACCCTTCACTTAGCTGCTTGGTAGAAGCTCTGAATATAAACAGTTTTTTCTGATTACATGTGTGGTCTTTAACTCTCAGCCATAATTTCTGTTTTCAGCTGGAAGCTTTCTACTCCATATTTACCACCGAGCAGCAGGACCACGTCAAGTCTGTGGACTATTTGAGGAACAACTTCAGGCCCAAGCAGCGCTTAAATGACAGGGTGGTGTACAAGTCTGCGGTGAAAGACGCTTGGAATCAGGACATGAATGACGACTTGGACAACCCATTTGGCACGGAAGCATCGAAAGGTAGCTTATTTCACATGATAGAGAGAGATTTTAGGTTCCCTCTCTTCTGGAACTGAAGCCTGAGACAGGTGTTTAATTAAAATGTCAGATTGGAAACCTGTGCAAGCATATATAACCAGGAGAGCGTGGAATCATAGGTTTTATGTGGTTCTGATAAATCATAGGAAATTTTTACTACATTTTATAAAGGGAAACCCCTAGCCAAACTGCTGAATTCTTACCTAAAATATACACGCTGTTTTATCTTCCCATCTTTTTTTATGCTATAAGTCATTCAGTACTATAGTTCTTCTGCCATTGTGACATGGCTCATCTCTGCACGTTCTTTGGGTTTATGGAATATAAAGTGAATCCCTCTCACCTTCCAGGCAGGCACTACTGCCGTAAGCTTGATTTTCTCACTCGTGAAAGGAATATGTAAGTGTACAAAAGAACCTGTAAATTTGCCTCAAGTTTTGCATTAAAGCCTAACTCTAGCCAAAATAGTGGGGAGTACAAGAGCATCATATCAAAGGTATAGGAGTCGTGGAGTATTTATTCCATCATAGAAGTCCAAAGGCAACAAGCCACTGTGTTTCAAGGGTTCTTTTTTTTTCATCAGGGCTTAGAGTGCTGATTTCAATGTAATCTTGAACTCATTTTGGGTAATGGAGGGTTGATTAAACTCGGGGAATTAACTGACTTTGTTCAGGTCCATCAAGACATGTTTTGAGGAGTCTGGTTTGAAGTGATTCAGGTGGCCTGCATACAGCCCTGGCCTCAACTCTATTAAACACATTCAGGATATATTGGAACACCATTTGCAACTCAGGTCTTTCTCATCTAACCCACAAATGCTCTTTTGACTCAATGGGCACCGATTCCCACAGACACACTACAAAATATTGTGGAAAAACCATCCCTAAAGAGTGGAGGCAGTTATCGCTGCAAAGGATGGAAGTGGGTCTTCATATTAATGGCCATAGTTTTAGAATAGGATGTCCAACAAGCCCATATAAGTGTGTTGATTAAACATTTGGCCACAAAGCTGTAATTTTCAAACCTCATCAGCTCATTCACTTTAGGTCTTTGTTTTTTGTATCTAAAAAAGAAACATTTGTGATAGAATAGCAAGATAATACTCTCCCCGGAGAATGTTTATGGTTTAAATCACAGAGAAATTTGTGGGGGGTTTTTTCCCTTGCACTATGGCAAATAATTTAATTGGAAATGTCAGCTGACCTCTACCCTCCCAGTTTAAGACCTCTTCAACCCTCAGCAATTTTGAAGGCAAATTAATGTTACATTTATTGTGCCTTTGAAGCCTGCTCTGGGTTTTCTAATCTAGAATTCCCCTTGTTTACTTAGCAAAATGGGCTTTAGTCATCAACCACGGGCAGTTGTGTTTATATCAGGTTGCTCAATCTCAAAATGGCCGCATAGTTGTCTCCTTTTGTCAGCTGTGCATTTGTATGGTGTTCTTTCTCATCCATGCATGCATATTAACACTGCTCTCTCGTTCCATTTCCCATAATCCTAATGCACAACAGATGTGCCCACATATGAACCAGCCAATATATTACTTGCGGAATGGTTCTAATTTGAGTAAAAAGATCATTTGAATCGCACACTCGACTTACATTTCTACGCTCATTGCTCTTGGTGCGTGCTTTCCCAACCTCGGCCAATTCTATTACAAATCCATTCTGAATCTGAAATGAAGATAAAAGCACTTTTGTGCCGCATCCCAGAATGCTTCAGGTGCTCGCAGGCCAAAGTGGCCAGAGTTGAACCAACATTTATGACATTGTTTGGCTTTTTGTGCGGTGTGGCTTCTACATCGCGAACAGCGAGAGGCTAATTTGGGCCAGTTACCCAAATCGTTTATATCACTGCAAGCCAATAATGGTAATTATTACGAGCACAGACTCATTGATTGTTTCTGCCTCTCCATGTGAATTAAAGGTAAAATATACACGGCTTGTGACTTGCATTTGTCTTCCTTTTAATGAGCCTAAAGCATACGGCCAATGTGCTGTGTGTTTGGACGAGGATGTGCCTATACCGGAGTATTTCTACACTTAGATTTAGAAATTTGGGTAAAAGAAAAAATGACATATAGGATGTATTTGTTTTTCTGAGTCCCCCCTGTAACATAGTTTTATTTTGTGTTCATCCTGCTGGTAGATCTATTATTTTTCTACTTCCTTTGCCAATCTGTCTCTCAAAAGTGGTAGTTACAGGGGTTAGGACAAACCATTAAAAATACTTTGGTTGGGGTGTTCAGTTTTTGTTGTTTGGTTAAACCCCCTCCTGTAATTCCTTCCTCCACCTGTAGTTTCCTGCAGGCAGCCTATAGTGGGTAGACCAAATACACCTTCACGCCCACAGCTCTGCTCTCTGCACGGGCTATATACAGCACAGCGATGATGTCATTGCTACTTTATAGGTAATATCGATGGTTTTAAAGGTATTTGGTGCACAGAAAGTGACTTAATAAACGTTATGGCTATTGATGAATATATTCAGGTTTGAAACCCTCGGGCCCTGCTTCTTCCACAAATGTGTTGTGAGCTCTTGTTTATTCCAGTGGCAAATTTGTACTTGAACAAATATGCAGTTATAGAGATTTTGCTGGCTGCTTAGCTGTTTTGGACCAGTGACTTAGAAACTACTCAATTCATAGACCACCAAGGAACTAGTATTTTCAGAAAGCTGAACGCCAGGCAGACACCGATTGATGCAGCTCTAATTATTACTGCATGAGTAGATGTTTTAAATGCAAGCAGTCCCTACATTTGACCAGATATCAGTCTCTTACAATCCAGTGTACAGCAGAACTGGAATGGCTTCTTGTGCAAGAAGCAGCACTTAGTTTATCCACTGACAAGAAGCATGCTAATAGGAGAGAGCAGAGAGATGAGCTCATCACTGTGCTGCTTCTCCAGTCAATGTCCAGGCACAGGCTAATGTTGAATGATGTTGACCATCAGACGGAGGACATCTAGTGGCTCTACTCAACAACTAGGCAGGGACTTTGGCTAAGCATACCAGGTGGCTTTCATGCTTCAGGCTAAACTCTCCGAAATGTACTACTATGTAGGGATGCACCGATACTTTTCAGATACCAGTACCGATACTTGGCATTTTCATGAGGACTACCAGTGTAGCAGAGGTTGCAGCTGGGACAACAGCTGCCTCCTAATTTTTTAATTTTTCTCTAGTCTTGGAGCTCGAAAATTATCTGTACTTGTACCAAGTACTGTACTTGGTATCGGTGCATCCCTACTACTATGCTAGTCTGAAGAGGGAGGGTGGCAAGAATATCACCAATGTATAGTATAATGTGTTATAAGTCACGGGGAAACCACATTACTATTTTCTGCCATTGAAGTTTTGGTTGCAGGTGATATACAATAATGTACCTGTGTTCTGTTTACTCTCATTGTCAGCGTGTTAGAATGCAGCTACTCAGTATTAGCTCTGACACATTTCTTCTAATTAGCATTTCCTAGGAGAGAGAGCTGATTACGTGGTATAGCTCAGCAACTGGCAGGCCGAGTGGATGAACTGCTGCAAACAAGTCTTTGTGTGAATAGTTGAGCTGATGTGAGAACAAAGAGGATAATATTGAGTTGATGGGACTTCATTACCATATCAGCATTCCTAGATGAATGCTTGGTTTCTTCGCTAGACCTTTCTGCTGCTGTTGCTACAGCATAACTGGAGGGGGGACCTGGTTTCCTAGCCATGGATGTAAATTGTCCCAAGGCATTTGAAACCGATAAAACCCACAAAAGCCCTCACTCCCCTGTGTGATAAATGGAGATCACATGTTCTTGCTATGCTCTTAAGAGTCTTCTGACATCAGCAACCTTGTAATGCACAGGAATAAAATGTAGATGCTGCTGACATAATTAAAGAGAGCTGGTCACTAGTTTGTCATTTGTAATCATTTAAGTATCCAGTGTTGCATTTGTATAGCTGCCTTTCCTCTTGGGGATCTTTTTATTATTTACTTGTGATCTCTCCCTGACTGAGCAGAAGTGATAGACAGAGTGTCAGGCTGTGAAGCTGTCTGATCATGCAGTCTGAGCACAAACTAAGAAGGGTGCTGTTAGGAATACATGAAAGAATAAAAGACAAAGGTTTTGTTAGAGTGTATCTAAACCCAAAAACAAAAATGTTATATATTGTAGCTTACCAGTCCTTGGATGTAGTGGCTGCGTTAGTTTTCTATTTTCAAGAAATTTTCAGCATTTAGGAAAAAATACCTGTTGATCTTGCCATGTCCTGGTAACTTCATGTGTGTTTTAACAGGTTGTAAAATGATCTTGTGTATATTAATATAAATCCCATCTGCCCCAATGCAATGATGATTACCTAAGGCAGACATGTTTAAAGTTGAACTTTGGCGGCAAATACGGCTGCCTCCATAGACACAGTAGAGGAAAAATGTAGCCACCCTGGGGCAGGGAGTGTGTTATTTGCAGGTTTCATCGGTGATAATAAAGAGGAGGGGTGGAGCCTGATTGAAAATCAGGACTGAAAAGCTGCATTAAATTACATTTTTGTTTGTGGTTTTAGATGCGATTTAAGTAAAAATGGTAGCCTTTTCTGGCAGTGTTGAGCCCAGGCAAAGACAGGTCAGGTATATGTGGGGGGGGGGGCTTTAACAGGCTGACCTTACTGCTCATGCAAGGAGAGAATACAACTAAATAACTGCACACATCTATCCTTTATGGGTATGGCTGTACTATTAAAACAACATAAGAGAAAAGATTCAAGTTCATACAAATGTCCATTCATGACCAGTCCTCTTTTTAATCTATGACACCTCCAGAGGAAGAGCTCAGTGGTGATATAACTGCATTAAGCCTGTTTAGGCCAAGGTGCACCTCTAAATTGTGTGTACCCACACTCCACACAAGGCACATGCATGCAAACTGAGAAAACAAATCCTCTCTTGGTGGACGATTAGGCATTACAAAATGTTCTCTGCAGATGTGTATTTATTACAG